TTTTATGTTTTGGTTTTCATTGCCTTTCACTTTATGATGTTGTGGTTGTTGTTGTTGTTGTTGTTGTTATTATGTTATTGACTTACTTTACGCATTTTTATAATCTTATGCTTACTGAATAATTTACAGACACAATTTAAAATTTTTTTATTTAATTTTCTTATACACAATACACTTAACACTGCGCTTACGCTTTTTTATTCACATTTTTGAGCACTTAACTTTTTTTTATTTATTTAATTTTTTCTCTTATTGGTTATAAATATTTTGATTTCCTTACCCGCACATTGCCTTCTGCTGTAATTTGTATCACTTGCCGCAAATAATTTTATTATTTATTAACAGCGCGGCTACACTTTGTTGTTGCGTTCTGCGTCGGCTGCACTTTATTCGAATAACATGGAATTTCCTGCGTTGAGTCCGTGACCGTCACTAGCACTTCCGTCCTTTACCACGTTAAATCTTAAACTGAGTGAAAATATTGCCACTGCCCGGTCTATGCGACCAAAATTGTTGGCAGAGAATTGGTTCGTGTGCCCTGAGAGCCAGCTGGTTGCTCGTTCAATGTGAGCGCGAGAGCATTGAATCAAAACAACTTTGTTTAGCATGCAACTGCTGGGCATCATGTGGTTCTGAGTTATAGCTTACCATAAGCAAATGTCTAACCATAAACGGTGTGTTATTTGAACAAAATAGTAATTTTTCACTTCGCTGTCGCTGTAAAATATTTCTGGAAATTAGTACTTAATATAATTGCTCAATTCTTTTCACCGGGGTTTTCACCCGCTTGGGTACGGATTATTTTATTTGTTTCCCTTTTTTCGGCTGACTATATCAGATTTATGATAGCTATAACAAATTTATGTTCATACATGGCGACAATACAATTTTAATGGAAAGGAAAGTTTTATGGCCTTATTCATAAACNCAAATGTCTAACCATAAACGGTGTGTTATTTGAACAAAATAGTAATTTTTCACTTCGCTGTCGCTGTAAAATATTTCTGGAAATTAGTACTTAATATAATTGCTCAATTCTTTTCACCGGGGTTTTCACCCGCTTGGGTACGGATTATTTTATTTGTTTCGACAATACAATTTTAATGGAAAAGAAAGTTTTATGGCCTTATTCATAAAAAATAAAGTAGGTTTAAAGAGCTTTATAAATTGACGTTTTCATACATTTTTCAATTTATAAACCTTTTATAAATCTACTTTATTTTTTATGAATAAGGCCATTAGTTTATTTTATTTGTTGTTAAATACCTTTAGCTTCTGGGAAATCAATTATAAAAATCTTAGTAAAAATGTTATATCATTGTGGCGCTCCGTACGTTTATATGAATCTTTGTATGTACAAATTTATGTTTTGCGCTCTCAAATTGTATGGTATTGCCAGCCGGCCATGCCGGCATTAGTTTTTTCCTTCAACTGTGTTATCATTGTTGCCACTGGGATCAGTTTTTTCCTACCAAAATCTTTAGGAAAAGTTACCAAATTTTTGGTATGTGCACTTACGACCCTATTCACACGTCAGTGACAAAGCTCATCGCATAATAATTTCTTCAACTACTGCGCTTAAAACTTAGACGTATCTACTCAATTGGCCATAACAATAACATAAAAAATTTCGTTCCATACATAGCTCAAACTTTTTTTCAATTAATGCAAATCAATTTTTTGTATGCGAAAGTTTACCAAATGAAAACCAAGTTAACAAACTGTTTAAAAGTTATCTATTTTGGTAGAAATTTACCAACCGTGGCAACCGTGTGTTTAAAAGAGCGATCGAAAATAATGATTATTTCAAAAATTTCAATGAAAAAAATTAAAATGTTCAAAATATCGTAGAACAATTTCGAGTATATAAATGTGCATGTTTTTTCATGCTCTCTATGTATCTCTTAGGAATTCAAAATGTTTGAGCGATATCTATAAAAATTATAACTAACAATTACATTTCGATTTGAAATTAATCGCTAAAGAAAAAAATTATATTGCAAGTTATATTTTTTGATCAGAAATAAAACTAATTTTTCGAGTGTTCTTTATTGCTCTGAAGTAATTATTATTTTGTGAGTTGTTTACTTTTTGATCAAAAATAATCATTTTATTTTTTTTTATCAAAAATAATGATTATTCTTTGAGTTTTATGATTTTGACCGAGAATAAAACTTATTTCTTGATCGTTNATTGCAAGTTATATTTTTTGATCAGAAATAAAACTAATTTTTCGAGTGTTCTTTANCTCTGAAGTAATTATTATTTTGTGAGTTGTTTACTTTTTGATCAAAAATAATCATTTTATTTTTTTTTATCAAAAATAATGATTATTCTTTGAGTTTTATGATTTTGACCGAGAATAAAACTTATTTCTTGATCGTTATTTTTCTCTCAGAAATAAAAATAAACTTTTAAGTTTTATTTTTTTTTTGGAAGATCGAAAAAATCAAAATGCCTCACTTCACCTAAACTCAACTCACCACACCTCAACTCACCTCACCACACCTCAACTCAACTCACCTTAACTCATCTCAACTCACCCTAACTCATCGCACCTCAACTCAACTACCTCACCCCTCAAGTCACCTCAACTCACGTCGTCTCACTTCAGCGAAGGAAATCACAAATACATTTTATTTTGAACTGATCAGCGCGTATTTGGATAAGGATATCTCCCACACCTCTTTTTATTTCGATATGGTTTCTTATATGTCGAGTCCTAACCGCCAAAATAACGTAAGCGACATTTTTTTCAAAGTTTTCGTTTTGTTGCAGAAATATTCCTAGAGCATCTAGATGCATTTCTGCATCAAAAAGAAAATTTTGAAAAAAAATGTCGCTTACGTTATTTTGGCGGTTAGGGCTCGATATGTTACTCCTCTATCTATGTATACTGTGAATATAAACATTTTTTCAAAAACAGTAATTTGTTGAAGTAAAATTTTCGGATGCTTAACACCTTATTAAATATATCTCAACATAAGTTTTCAAAAAAAAAAAATACAAAAAATTGTTGATTCTCACAAAATAGACCATCTCGTCATAAAGAAAAATATTTTAAAAAAAATTCTTGAAAACCCCCTATTTTTTAACCACGTTTTTATAAAGAATTAAACAAGGATTACGATGGTATTATTTTAAATCCTTAATTTACTGGTCTCACTATGCAAATTAACTTCAAAAAGTTAAACTGTTAATAGCTAACTTAGCTTTAGACAACCTTGACCATCTTGTATATAGAAATGTCGAACCGGGTTCTTAGCTTTAAAATGACGTTAAGATGACGTGTCTACGATCAGCAGAACCTGAGATATAACGATTTGAAGAAGTACATGATTAGTCAGTTTAACCAAAAAATGCAAACTTTGGCAGATCATATCTCCGAAGAAAAAAAGGAGAAAAAAATTCCTCGAACACGTGTTAGCTTATTTCATGTATAGAACCCGCAAAAAAAAATTTGAAGCGAATCGGAGACATGACATAATTTTTTTTAGGAAATCCGTCCGACTTAAAAAAGAATGGCTCATATGCATAAAAGGTATGAAGCCGGCATAGCCGAAGACCGCGGTACTCTAACTTGTTTTATTGCGGCTTAGTGTCGTTTTTTGATCGCAGCCTAATTTAACTTTTTAAAATGAATTATATACTCGGCCATAATTCAGTAAGCCGTAAACATGTTTGCAAGAATCTTCTAGGACTCAGTAGAATACCTTGCTATCTTTATTATTTATAATAAAAAAACCTCAATGTTCGTAAACTCTTGCCGTTGGTCAAACTGATCAAAGGATTTCTGCACACATACAAATTTATGTAATTCCTTCACCTGTGCACTTCTTTTCTTCGCTACTCAAATTGTAGACACTTTGTACTATGCCGTCTTATGGTTGTTGTATTCCATCTTTACTGTTATTACGATTTTATTAGCTAATCAGATTTTATTAGCAATATGGAAATTTCGCGCATTTCCTCAAAATGTCTGCAATACATTTTTCTAATTTCCGAGAATTTCAACTCCTTTCCGTTCGCCCAACACCCTTCAACAGCAAGAAGTTGTTTTGCGACGGGCTGTTCACCCTTGAATTGATGATGTTTTGCTAAGTGTTTCCGTTATTGGGCGTAACATGCTCCGCTGCCAAAGTTATTTATATACATATGCAAATACATACATATCTACATGTGTAAGTAGCTTACAAAAGAGACGAAATGTCGGAAATCAATAACTCTTGGGTGTTACGATATGAAAAGAACCACCTTAATATTGGCTAAAAAGTAACTCGCGCAGTAAAAGCAGGTGTGGACAATGCAATTGCGAACAAAAAGTTTACCTTTTTCAGATGAATAAGGCAATCGAAAGGGTGGATTGGCTTCGTAAATGTTGCTAGGGAAATCAGTTAAGCCTTGGTAAATCTTGTCGTTGAACTATAGTTTCTACACAATACTTATTAGTAGCTTTAAATAAATATTGCTGCGCTTGAAAGAACTAAAATTTAATTTAACCGGACAAGTCCTATTTCATATATGTACTTATATAGTAACCATAAGTACCTTCAGCCATACCAAATGACCTACGAACCAACTGAGACGAGATTTAACAGAAAAGAAATGAGGAACTTTTTACGTAAAAAATGATGTTGCCTTATATCAAAAAGTTTTATCTGAATACGGTGTCGGGATGAATAATAAGAGGAATCGATTTAATAAATAATTCCTATATCAAAATCAGGCTCTTGAGAAACTAACGGACCACAGAAACTAAGTACAATAATACTTTGCTATAACCTAGGTGAGATGGATGTCTTCTTCTTCATTATTGGCATTGTAACCGATGTAAAGAGTCAAAACTTGCAGTCCCCCCTTGTCATGTCTCATGGAAACCTTCACCTTGACTACCTTTGACTCATTAGACAAAATTTAATTTAACAAAGTATTTAGTCCTTTGCTTGTAAAAATAAAAGTCTTTTTATTTAGATCACCAAAAACAAATAAGCTGCCCTAAACAAGAATTTAGCATGGATGAACAGGATATCTTCTTTTTCGGCAGTAAGAAAACCGAAAAAACCCAGTCTACATCAAAATTACAAGCAGAAGCCGATAATTCCAGTGCAACAAAAAACCAGGTTATTATCTCGCGGCCTACTGCAGAGGTGGATTATAAAACCAATAATCCAAATACCGGTCTCGCCATCGTACTCAATCACAAATACTTAAGGGGACAAACTATTCGTAAAGGTACCGAGAAAGACCGTAGCGATGTTACATCAGCTTTAGAGAATTATGGATTTGAAGTGCGCGTTTACAACGACTTAAAAGTGGGAAAGATATCAAAACTTCTGAAATCAGGTATGGTAAACTAATTTCTAGAGATAAGCTGGTAGTAACGATAAGCTAATAGTAACGATTAAATAATTTTTTTCACCATAGTTGCTGCTGAGGATCACAGCCAAAGTGATTGTTTCGTGCTTGTTGCTATGACCCATGGAGATAAGGGCAGAATATGCGCAGCCGATGAATTTTACTCAACTGAGGAGCTGTGGGAGCCATTCCTCGGACAAAATTGTCCAACATTACTGGATAAGCCCAAGTTATTTTTTATACAGGTAAAATTTTTAAATCTTGCGCTTCTCCCCAGTGATCTACTAATGGTACAGAGACAAATGATACTAAGCATTGCTACGTCTATTTCTATGGGCTGCTCCTCAGCGCCTATGTTTGTGTTGATTTTCTATTTTCCAACTGCCGTCAATTGCAAATGCCAACTGAAGCCAAGTCCATCACTATATGGGCTTTCCACAGCAGAATAGGCAATTCTTTTTTTTTCTACTGCCACCAGCGAGTTAAATACTTGCTGGGCTGCAGCATTTGTCTCCATTTATACGACACGACCGAGCCCGCTGCTGTATTTTAATTCGCCTCACTATGTCGCTTTAAAGCTCATATACATATGTGGCTCATCTTTCCATCGTCTGCGGTGTTCGCTGTCGCCAACGCGCGACAAGAGGCTCTACATCAAAGGTTTTCGTTGCACAAGCCTTGCGCCATGCGAACATGATGAACGAGAGTTGGATTTTTAACCGACGAGTGTGGACTTTACTATCAAATGCCTACTCTGTTCAAAGTAGCACTTGATGACAATAGTCATTCTGCGTTGGATTTCTATGCTGGCATTGTTAGCGGTTTTCATGCTGGTTTCTAAATAAACTAAGTCATCCACCTTTCCGAACTTGTAACTGTCACCAGTTTCGTGAGTGTCGAGGCTCATATGCTCTAACTGATTGTCTGATGACAGGAGATACTTAGCTGCTTGGTTTTTCCTCATTCATTACTAGACCCACACTGCTTCTGTATCTACGTAATTTCGAGAACGTAGAATAGATGTAGCATTTGTTTTTAAGAATGATAACTTTGTAGTCGGTATATGCCAGAAATACACTCGGAGGTTTGTCATTTCGTGCTGTTTATAAAAACTTTTTATAATCAGTGCACGGACTTTGAAAAAATTAATATTGGTAGATTTTACATACAAAAATTGGTAGAAGTTGGTAGATTTTTTTAAAAGAAACTTTATTATATAGTTTTTACTCATTTAGGATAAATGAAAGCTAATTCAGGTAAGATGGTGTTACCAAAGCAGCTGAATTTTCGCCTTTGGGGATTTTTTATGTCAAAAAGTTGTATTTGTTGTAATTCTTATTGTCACTATGGGTAAAATTTGTTAGTGGAATTTTTGCTTTTGAACTTTTGTTGTCACCTTATTATATGAATTCGCCTTGGAATAAATTGTATTTCTTTATAAAACAATAAAACATTCAACAAAAAAGGTATAGATATGTAGTACATAAAAGTGGGTCCAAATCATGGCATCCGTGATCGAATAAAAAACGATTCGAATCGAATGAAACAAAATGACAGCTGTTTTCTCTCAAATACATTTTGAACTGGAAAAGCGAATTCGCTACCAAAATCTGTAAAGAAAATTCCGATTCGAATTTGATTCGATCCCGTATGTCTTGATTCTGGCCCTGTTTTACAATAAAACAAACAATTACTCTGCACTTCAAAATTGTTTGATTAAAATTAGTTTTGAAATGATTTAAGTTTGCACACCATTCCTTTGGCAGTCTCTCACAAAAAACGTATTGCAAACGAAAAATATTTCCATAAACAGTTGGTTATAGTCAAAGTTAACTCCTCATGTTTATTTTAGGTATGTTCCATTATAAAATATGTATACACTGAGTTCATTTAAATATCTTTGCTTTCTTTCGGTAAAATATTGGTAGATTTTTAGCCTTTGTTGGTAGAAATGGTACAAAACAAAAAACAGCTAAAAAGTTGTAGATCTACCAATAAAGTGGTAAAGTCCGTGCACTGTTTATAATTTAGATGTTGCTCCCGCCGGGAATCGAACCCAGGTCCTGTGGAGTGAAGTACGCATCTCTAAACACTCAGCCACGGCATGCAGCTGTTTATACTCTAATATTTAATTTACTTAATTGACTAAGTAACTGAGACTAATGGTCTGATTATGCATACTTCGCATAACTTCGCACAACTTTGCATAAACTTCAAACTGTAATTTCGTATGTACTTTGTATGTATTTTGTATTATTCCATAATCCAGAAATTAGCAGAACTTTTAACAACTTAGCGATCTGTTGAGTTTAGATTTTGCTTCACATTTTCTTAAGTTACACTTTTAGTGCTATGATACAAATGGTTGAGCGAAGTTATGCGAAGTATGCATAATCAGACCCTAATAGCTGCTGACAAAAGTGTTTGCCCATTGGCATCATTAGGCAGTAGTCGTTACCCAAATGAGTATCTACTCGAAACCAATTCAATAACTGGGCATGAAAGTAGGCATTAATTGGTATATACCTAGCGTTGGGTAACAACCCAGGTGTAAATCCATCAATAAATATATCAGTTCAAATCAAGATTGTTAAACAAGAAGCAATCGATTTATTTCCTTTGCTGGTTTCCTTTGGAAATTCTTCTGTTAGGATCTGTTTAAATAACACTATATATACGTTGTATTGCTTTTTTGAAGGCATGTCGTGGCAAGCGCGTCGATCAACCAGTTATGATGACTGTGATGTCCCGCTCTGGTTTTGATTCATTTGAACGAGCAAACATCCCGGTTACAGCTTATGCCATACCAACTACGGCTGATATGTTGGTTATGTATTCAACGTTTGAAGGTAAACATTTTACAAATATTTTTGTTATATAAATATGTATTTATTTATTTATTTAAGTCAAACATACAACCATAGGTTATTTTTATAATGATTGACCTCAAATTAAAAATTTAACAATAAAATTTAAAAAGATTAAAAAAAAATAAAATAACATAAAATAAAATAAAATAAAATAAAATAAAATAAAATAAAATAAAATAAAATAAAATAAAATAAAAGTAATAAGACTGAGACTGTAGAAGGTATTAGAGAAAAAATAAATAAAAAATAGTAGTAATAGTAGTAGGGATTAAATTGGAAATTAATTGAATGAATGAGAAATTATTTAAGTAAAATCAGCAATATTCGGCAAAGTAACGAATTAATTCATGGCAGCCGCCGTGTTGTAACTGCGCTCTACCATTCTGCAGGAACTGGGTTTAAGCCCAGTTTCAGACAAACTATAAAAAACATGAAAAATAATATTTTCTATGAAACATGAAAATAATATTTTCTGTGCGTTCGCCCCTCGGAACGCAATAGCAGACCTCCGAGTGTATTTATGTATTTATTATTCATGAAAAAGCTTCTCATCACATAAGTATATTAAATAATGTTCAGTGAAAATAGTTCGAAATAATAACTTTTAAGCAAATTTGTGTTCTCAAGTTGAATATCTTATTAATTTTTGCTAAGCTAAAAGTTAAAAAAAAATTAAACAAGTAATTTTCTGTCAGTCCTAGATGAAATTTGGCCATGTGCGAATTTTGGTTAATGTAGAAATTTAAATTTTTCCCCCCTCCAATAATTATGTTATTTTTTTTAATATCTTAAATTTAACATATTAAATACATATTTGGATTTTTTTTTAGCACGTCGAGATTTATTTTATTTGTGATATGTATATTAGCGTAGGCCGAAAATCCACTTTTTTTTAATTTTTATTTGTAATGGCAAAAATATGGTTCATTATGCTCTAAAAACAATCTGTGTGAAACAGATAATTTTTGGTCAATATCTTAGGCTCGCCCAAGTCCATCAAAGTTCAATGTGCGCAAAAAAAAATAAAAATTAAAAAATTAATTTAATAGTACATTTTCTGTAATAAAATTGCGAATATATTCGGTACATGGACCTTTTTTGTAGAGAATCGAAGTGAGCTAAGAAACAAAATTTTTAGCACTTGAATTTTGATGGACTTGGGCGAGCCTAAGATACTGACCAAAAATTGTCATCTTTCACACAGATTGTGTAAAACTTTGGACTATTCCGAGGGGTACCCATAAATATTTCTGTGTGTGCGTTTGACATGAGAACCCGGCAATCGTGAGCACATGCCCCAACCTCCAAAATTTAAAAAAACCAGTAAAACTCAAAATCATCACTTTTTAAATGAAGAATAAAACACACACACACACAAGGAAACAAATCTATTAGTTTTTTATTAAATGATGTAAATATTATTATGATTAATGGTAACTAGAACAATGCTTACTCAGGGAAATCAAATACTAAATCAAAAAATACATATACACATGGTTTTACTCAACGTGGCGAGCGCTGTATGTACTTTAGGGTGGTCCTAAAATGCATGTGAAAAAGTTAAGTCCGAATTTAATGCTCTTAGCCTCTAAGGCTGGTATCGCATCATTGGAAATAATATTTTTCGATCGGAAAAGTTTGTTTATCTTCAGGATAATACTTTTGAAAACCGTAGTAGAAATCGTAGAAAATTTTCGGCTGCTGTGATAGAAGAAAATCTAATACAATTATTTTAACATGTATTTACTTTTCCAGACCATTACTCGTTTCGTCATAGCCTAAATGGTTCCTGGTTTATTCAGAGCCTTTGCAGTGTTTTAAATGAGGCTGCCTTAGACGACAAAGCAAAAACTGAAGGTGTTGAGTTACTGCGCCTACTCACAGCCGTCAATCGCAAAGTTGCCTACGAATACCAATCGTATCACGTGCAAGAAATGTTCGACCAAAAGAAAGAAATGCCAAATTTTATGTCAACACTAACGAAGACGTTCCATTTGAAAGTGAAACCCAAGAGAATGGATGCTATGGGCGTTACTATGCCAGACGTGGAAGACGAAAATGGCGAGGATGAAAAATTCAACCGTATATTCAATAGAAACACAGAATTATCTTTTATAAAAGGTCCAGTTCAGTTGATTTAATTGCTTCAAGTAGTTTGTACATATACTATTGCATTATGCAAGTTAAGGATTTTTATTAAATAGTATATAAGTAGAGAAAATTGTATCGTAATAATAATAAATTTATTATCTGATCTGAAAAACGTTATATGTTATTCCTGATTACTGGTAAAGCCGGTAGAGTTTACTTTTGTTTGCCATTTCATTTACATGCTTACATATCGTCAATGCAAAACCGATCATCGACCAGCCTAAACCACCGCTATGGCAAAAATGAGATTTGGTAACCCTGAACCCCAGGCATCGAGATTTTTGCATAAAAATCGTAAAATCGTTATTAAAACAACAGATTTGTAAAATAAAAGCTAGAGAAAATACCGCGTCTCAAAGCAATGCCTTCAAAGAAAGTCCGTTTTCCGCTCTCTTGTAAAATTTGAGTGCCGTAAGATAAGCCGTTTTAAAGTTGGTCGATGGGCGGTTTTGAAAAAACATCGGCAATATGTACATATGTATTTCGTTGAATACGTTAGCGCATTGCGATTTAATCTTTTATTGAGCAATACAGAGAACTGATAAGTACATTAATATGTATTAAAATAAAAGTAGGAATTACATTTACATACATAAAAACAAGTATGTGTGTATGTATGAATATTCATAAACGGTAGCTACTTAGGTGACTTGATAATCCTACGAGCAGAGTAAATTAAAAATATAAGTCGCATAAATCGTAGAAATGCTAAATAGATTTTTAACCACCTTATGCTTCATCTTCTTATTTGGCACTACAACCGTTTTTCTGTTTGGCCCGAGACCAAAACGCTTCTCCAATTGCCTCCCCTCCCTCCTGTGCGAATTTGCGCCAGTTGCTCATAGCGAGTGCAGACAGGTCCTTCTATATTTAAATATTTTTATTCATATTATTGTTGTTGTTGTAGGCTTGTCGATTGATTGTGTTTGTGTGCAAGAAAACCCACTTCTCAACTGGAGCTGTACATGAACTAAAACGCCTGTCTTAATGTTTTTAACCGAGTTCACAAAAAGGAGAAGGTTATCAATTCGTCGGAATATTTTTACGCACTTGTGCACAAGGGTATTATAACTTTGTTCACATAACGGTTGTTTGTTACAGCCAAAACGAATCGAGATGGAAATAGACAAATGTATACATAATGAAAAGAGAAGTCGATTAAGCCATGTCTGTCTGTCCGTCCATCCGTCCGTCCGTGTACACGATAATTCGAGAAAAAATTTAGATATCTCAACGAAATTTGATATGTAAATTTCCCTTTACCTGAAGTAGTTTGGTATTGAAAATGGGCGTAATCGGACCGTAACCACGCCCATTTCCCATATAACGATAGTTTTCAAAAGTACGAAAACTGCGATATTTTAGTAACTACTGAGGCTTATTTGCGGAAATTTGATATTTACAATGATTTTTAAGCGTAAAATAAGAATATTATAAATTTTTGGAAAATGGGCGTAGCCACGCCCACTTATGGTTACATGTGTATATCTTGGTAACCGCTGCACCAATTTCTTCCAAACTTGGCACAGTTGTTGGCCTTGGTACAGCATACCAAATGGCCGAAATTTTTTTAAATCGGACAATAACCAC